TGAGGTTTAATTGGGATTTGTCTTGTATGGTGTGTTTATGATGTGTTTATGATGTGTGAGTAGTTAAGAATTTGGTACATCTAGTGATGTGAAGTCAAAGTGATATCCTTAGCTGTCAGTCAATAGGGAACGGCCTGATGGGCCGTTTCAAGAACAAACAATTGATCTGATTAAATCTTTCCTGCAGATGTAAGCCCTCATCTGCTGGTGTATATAACAAGATAGTCAACGCAGTGTATCCAAACATTCTGCCTACAGACTGACGAGGTAAGTTATAAAATGAGATTCTTGCCTCCATCTATTCGCTCCAGACATGTTGATTCACCAAGCCGTACATTCGGAACCTACTACACGGGAGATTTTTGGACACTTTCTCACTATATATCCGGAACAGCAAGACAAGTAATGAGCCCAGCTTTTCATCCAAATATCACTGTGTTTCTGACAGGCAGAATAAGGCCAAAGATCTGATTGATCTTGTATTGAATAGCGGAGAGATCATGAGAATGAAATGAGATACTTGGGTAGGGAGTTAGAAAAGATAGAGACATGAACGGAGTGGAAAGGTTGGAATTTCGAAATGAAGGAGGACCTATAGAAACCTAGAGAGAGATGAAGTACTTTTGATAGGATGAGTGTATAATTACGCTGCAGTAAACTACGGTTAAAAACACCAGTGAAGGTGTCTAAGGTCTCTGGGGAGATATGAAAGCAGAAAGATGAATGGACAGATTTTACCTCTACCCTTGCGTTGACAATTAATAAGTTCACATGTGATATACATGTGCGGAGGTGAAATTTCATTCGTAGACGGGGGATATTCGAGTTGATTCGCAACATGGAATCCAAATTTTTCTTTAAACTACCATGTGTGTCCATCGACAATAACAGAATAAGATAGTTGGTGACCATGCGCCATTAGTCTTTGTCCGTCTCCAACTTTTTTACGTACGACTTACAACGTCGTCAGCAACATCGCTTGACAATTGGATTTGCTTTGCTTCGACTTTACCTCTTTCGACTTGACTTGAGTTTGCCCCGCTCAATCCTGCCTACCTCGTTCTTATAGCCTCCTCCAGGACACTACTCGGCGTTGCCCAACCCAAATTTTTGCAGGAAAGAAATCTTGTTATGATTATCCACATCAAAATTGCCGTCAGACACTGAGCTCCACACACATAGATACATGCGCAATAAGAAGCTCTGGTTAATAATGCCTCCGATATCAGAATACGCATCGCCTTTCACTGGGCTACTGTCAATTGGATGATATTAAAAGGAGTAAACATGACTCATTCCTTCCCATCATGACTCAAAATCGAGTCTTGTCATCCCATAAAGCCGCGTAGCTGAAAACTCTCTCATTCCTTTTGCACAATGCAGGTCAATTTCTGATAGGAATATAAATTTCTTCCTCGTTTTTGATTGAGTATGTACGAAGGAATTGGGTGGAAAGTGGCGTTGTTAGTGAGTAGCGCTAAAGATGTACCGTTCGGCGCTAGCTTACTTGGGTAATGATATTTGTCGATTTTTTCAACCAGTCATCCGACGGTAAAACGATTGAATAGCTCAATCATATTCACGCAGTATTTAAAGATTTAGTGAATAATCCTGGGGCGGAGCGGAATCATGCTTGGGTAAGGGGTCTATTATTTGGGTATGGAGCACGATAGTCCATTGAAATCGCAGTGATCAAGAAGGATTCCGGCTGGCTGAAATTCACCTAAATGGGCGTGTGCTTGCGCTTTCCACTCCAGCACCGAACTATCCGGCTCAACCCAACAGGACGTTGATGTGTAGCTCCTTCCTGGTAGGATGCATGCCTAGACAACACATCACGAGATCGATTTTATGATAGTGGCGAACTTCCTACGGGTCTTTGAAGAGGTCGATGGCGCTGAACAGAAAAATTTCAGCTACATAATAGTCAATATAGCTGTGACTCATTAGCAAAGTGGAAATCCTTAGATGTGGTAAACCGAGATCGCGTAGAAAATGGCAAACTGTTATTGGAGAACCTGAGTATGTTCATTCATCTTCTCGTCGAGCATTTGATCCGGGACCATAAGGATGCAATCCGTGAAAGACCGCCAACGCGAAACTCATTGTACTTCCGAGGTTATTGCCACACTGATGTTGTACGAATCTGATGATGTTTTATCTAGTGTATACACCTAACCTCACCGTTGAAATTGTATTTGTCTATGTGAAGAACCACATGTATGTTCTCGGTCAAAGAGTGGATGCTGTGTATTTGAATTGAATGAGAGAGGTGCGATTCAAGAAATAAGAGTCACGATGATTAGTTCTCAGAACTTACTGATCTCTGAATCCATCGATGATGGGAATCTAGCGGGATTCTCATTGAAATACTGAGTACAGTTCATGTCCACATAGATTCAATCAAACCAACCAAATCTTGCAAAACCACTTTGAATAACATCATGCTGATCTAGTAGTTCTAGAGATGACAGGTATCTCTTAATGTTGTAAAAAGAAAGGAAATATACCCCTCCTTCGTGCGTGATGTCAAACAATCGATTGCTGTACGAAGCAAACCCTCAAAATTTCCGAGATGAATAAAGACACTCCGGTCTCAACTCTGATCCCAACTCGTTCGATAACGGAGATAATTGCAATTGTGAGCACTAACCCAACGGCAACGTGACGTGAGCAAGTACTCTCTAGCACGGGATACCCTCATTTTTGGATACCACCCCGCAATGTGAATCTCGCTTGATTAATTCGGTTGGACCGGTGGAACCCGCCCCTCATTTCTTCCTACCACAAAACAAGTTTGGCTGTTTGCCTTTTGACCGATCGATAGGGCGGGATGACAGACCAATCCACCTGACTAGATTGTGATAGTGACTGTGATAGTGATAACCAGCAGTAAATCAACCGACGAAAGAGCAATATCAGCAAACCCGTGAAGATCTTCTATTATATTCAGAGGCTGGTTTATATGAGGCTTATTAAGGAATTAAGAGTCATCAACCATTTGTCTCGAAATCTCGACCTCAATTTCAGAAGCAAACCATTTGCCTTGTCTCGCCCGGCCACCCGTTTATTTGTATCCACGGATTGAGGCTGAACAAAATTCGGATAAGATGAGTCAAAAAAGACATGAAACGCGGATACCCTATAATCCGAGGGCACTCCTCCTATTGTATCACCTATCATATTGTTTGGCCCCCAAAATAGCGAAAAATTGACCCAAAGTATGATTTGTGTGGTAGGAAATGTCTCATGAGGCTGACACTTCAAGCTCCTAAAGTTGCGCAATAACTTTCATTGGCTGCGTCTTTGTGACTCTCAATGCGCCTCTTGAATCCGATGACCCTTTCGAGGTCCAGAATTTGCGCCCACACGTATAAACTGCCCAAACGGCTACAGCAGGTAAAAATTTCTTTTTGGGCAGAAATGAAATTCTATCGTCATACCCACCAATTAACATATTTTTTCCTTCTTTGCGGCAAATGTGAAAATTAATCTCTTTGCTTTATAGAATGTCTGGCTGCTTGAGAAACTGGAGGGGAAGATGGATGCTTTTTTTTGCATTCTGGACTTTTTAGACGTCCAGTACGTCATTCAACATACATATTGGGCCTTCCGTTGTACGACACGTGTGCATAGACCGCCTTATACAGTGTGTGGGAAGAAGCCTTATATGTATGGAAAATTGAAAATTGATGCTATCGATGCAAGTGAGAAAGACTTTTTCTCCTTGAGCAGTAGGCCAACAATTCGGGTACAGGCAGCTAAGAGATTCAGCCAATGTGTGTACATACAGTACTTTAGAGTACATCTCAACGGGAAGCGGCACAAGGGTATGTTCTCGCTGCTTGATCCTGTACAACGTTGGTTTCCGCACACAAGGATTCTCTAAACGAATAAGATCTGAGAATATGCAGATGAATAAAAGAGAGCTCCAGCCACTCATGATTCAGAAGTACAGAAGCAGAGAGCCTTTTGATGCATAACAGTAAGGGAGTCGATCAAGTAGTGAAAATAAGAAGATATGATAGAGACGGTGAAGCAAAGTTTGCATCAAACTGACTCAAATAGATGAAGATTCGCACACCGAAAGTCTGGATGAAAACTCTGCAAAAATCAATAAGCCCAAGAAGCAGGGCTTGAGACGCAATGGTAGAAAGAATCGGAATATAATCAAAGAATTGATGGGTATCACCGCTGTCGCATTATATGTTTTTGTTGGTGGATGATTGTGGAGGGTTGGGAAGTTAAGAGGGGTAGGAATTTTATGGACGAAGTAATGATAAGTCTCACCATGCATTGATAAGTATCAGATCACGTAGGAAGGTAAACGATTGATTTTTAATGATTTAATGACGGCCAAGAGAAGTCACCGGCGTGTACTCAATATAGCAACATAAACATTACATACCTACGACTCCCCCTAGTGTTTATTAATTATTACTTTCTAGTTAATGTTGTGGCACTTGCACTTTGCACTTGCACTTGCACTTGCATTCGTCTTTCATTAGGGTTAGGTCTAATTTTTAATGCCCTTTAATGCCTGTGTACATTATGAACGATGAACAGTTCTATGCAGGAAGAACCCGCCGCCGTGGGAATTTTCAATTCATGATTGTCCGTTCCAGGGCTCATTTGATGTTTAGGTCCGGCAACTCTGCAGGTAAAATGCATGACAAAAGCATGTTGATATGCATCACTACTTTAGCATCACTACTTTAACATCACTACTTTAGTATGAATCTTTTCTTTTTCTTGCCCATTTCCCATGAACTTACAACCCTGCGCTTAATTTGTGATCCCCTCTTTCTGTTGTTAAACTGTTCTAACCATCTACAACCCTTTTATTCGGATCTGTGTACCTCACCCAAGTTGAAGATGAAGTAAAAGCCAATCAATCACACTGGAATTGAAGAAATTTCCTCTTTGGCAGTGATACGAGTACGAACATTCTCTCTCTCTCTCTCTCTCTCTCAGTCATCGACAGCGTGTGATTAATTGGAATGGCATGGTACTACGATGGTGGTAGTATCCTTCAATCATTCCGTGACATCCAAAGCAGTTCAAACCTTCGTATGGTAGGTAATAGGTATCCTCCGCATCATGGTTTGGGTGGAAAGAAAGGCCGAGTCGTAAGTTCTCAGGGTACACATCAGGATTTTGATTGGAGGAATGATAAATAAAATTGACTTTCCTGGCTGCCCTGGCTTTCCTGGCTCTTTTGGCTCTTTCTCACTCTACCACTCCTCAAGGTTTAATTCGATATCGATTAATTTATAGACGGGTCCCGCCCCCTCAAAACCCTGTTTAATACCACTACTGTACATATCATTCCAAGAAACCCGGAGACGAAGAGCAGCGAACCCATATTGATGAACATGGAGGAAATGGACGAGATGACAAGAACAGTTGGGATTATATTCTAGTCCTGAATTGTTCATTGTATTACCAGAAGCGGAGGGTGGTGAGCAGGTGAACGTGAGCGTGAATGCCTACCTATGAACACGCTTTTCCATGTGATATCCCGAAGGAAAAGTCCGGATATGTCCACTTACATTCAAATACTACGTAGGTAATGGGAACTTGTTCTTCGAGACTTGCAATAATGTAGGTAGTGAGGAAAGAGGATGGACGGGGTAACCTTCAACAAATACTTTGATGCTCCTAGCAATTCCGCATATGTATTTCTCTTACTGTAGATAGTAACACAACCATTCATTCAAAACATCGATAACCTCAAATCCCCCTCGAGTTTCCTGCCCAACATCTGACTTAAAGGGGCCCCTCTTTATTGTAGTAATTGTATTGAACCTGCATGCATGTAAGTGCAATCCACACATCCATACATCCACACATCCATACACCCATACACCCATACCATCCATACCGCACATCCTCGTATTGTACCAAGGAGTCTTTCCCTCCTGTATGTACATCCATCCACATCCAGTCGATTCCCTCGGACCCTATCAGCCTTCCGGAGTATGGAAATATCGGTGTAACTTTTACCTGATTGTCTTGAATTGATTCACTACGCGTACGTCCATAGGGTTCCCTAAGTGTGGCCAGCGTCAAGGTCGTGCGCAAAGCTCAAAGCTCACAGCTCACAGCTCACAGCATCGACCAGCGATTTGATTCTACCCCCTCATCTTATCAGCTGCTGACCTTTGACTCGACCCATTTGTCTCTTCCTTGAGCAATCCTTCAGTCAATATACCTACCTGGTAGGTTCCTAGTAGGCAATATTGAGATCTTCATAATCGAAAAGTCGATATCAACTATTACAAATCGCCCAATCAAATTTGCCACGCTGAGAAGAACGGATGAAAGAACACACAATACATGGCCTGAAAAGCAATCGCATTCACCCCAATATATCCACCACCACCATCGCCATCGCCATCGCCATCGCCATCACCCACAAGTCTCCTCTCATGCTGAGAACCCTTGAACGAGGACACCTTTGAAAGATCCAGATAATATCACATTCTGTACATCAAGCTTTACCTGCACACTACATAGCTACTTTATTGTACTCGATCAATCAGAAATCTCCAAACCAATCACATTCATCCCAACCTCGTTTTTCCCAAGGTTTCCCAAGGTTTCCCAACATTCAATTTCGTTCAATTTCCTAGATCCTTGAAGCTTCGTTACTATCCACAATTTCGATCTTCGGTTTCTCCGCTATTCACTTTACGGTATCGCGAGAAGCCGCGGCAACTAAACGACTTCTTCCCCGTTGAACCGTTGATATATTTCCTGGCGTCTGGGTACCTTGATCCCAAAACAAATTGAAGCTACGAAGATCTGTGCGTGGAGTAATTCCATGCCGGCGTGTCATAGAAGGTCTCCAAGCTTCGAATTCTTGTTCTTTTTAGAGTTTCTTTTTTTCGAATAGTGCAATCCACATTGTCTCTCTTCAATTTCGCTAGAAGGGACTTTTCCCTGAGATAAGACGACTCTGCCGGGCACAGACTGCTTCCATCCCGCTCAAGAGTCAAGCCAGACACTCCGAATCCAAATCTCTATCAACTTTTCGCCCCAGGGCTTCCTTCACACACGACGCGCACGATTGCCGATTGCGATAAAGGGTTGTTCTAGACAATCCCCGAACTTAATTCGCACATTCTCAACCCAATTTGAAAATAATTCCATCAAAATTCTCTGATTCGTCAAACGTCTATTCCTCCGAAAGTACCAAGAAGGGTCGAAAGGGCGTTTGTCATAGTGGGCAGCACACAACACACGAGATCAACAATACTGCGCAACATAATCAATAGCAACGAGAATATTGGGAAAAGTTTGCAGGAAGTTAGGAAGACGTTTCGAGTTGTATCTTTTTTGACATTCTAGGTACCTAGGTATGTGATGTGATTAACTACTTTCTTTCCATCATTCTCCATCCATTACCTACCGACCACACAGTACAAACCATCTGTGCCTATCTGTTGTACTCGTATTCATACTCACACTCATCACCATCACACCTTACCAATCAATCTCCTCACTCTCCTCATCATTATCAACATACATCCACTCCGTTCCACCAATATCTATCTCATCATCATTGTTCCTCGTACTCCAGCTTTCTTCGGTTGTATCAGTATTACTCACAGTTGCTATCTTTATCTGTTGAATCCACTCATCGATTCATCATCATCCACTATTCAGCATCCATCACTTCACTTGGAAAGTGGCATCCGTCCAATTAATCTCTCGAGAACAATAAAAAGCACAGCACAGCACAGCCTTTTCTTTATTTATTTTTTCCTTTTCTTGTTTTTCCTCTCGACGGAGGACTCATCGCCTCCCCCTTGAATCGATTATTTTATCAGTACACAATCGCATTCCTTTCCAAGCTCGTTGAAGGAAATCAAGATATTTTTAATACTAATTCTGGTCTAGGATGAATTTCTGAATTTCTGAATTTATAAATTAATTCATTAATTAGTTTTTTTATTACTAGGATATTCCTGTTCACCCTTGTGGCTGATGAATGAGCACACGAACCTTGCACTGCACATTTTCGGGTAGAGTTGGGTTTGTGTGTTGGCTGCAGAGAGGAAAGAAAAAAATAATTTCGCTATCCCTGGCTAAGAACCATACTAGGCTCATACACACAATTCCTACCCACCCTTAACCAAAATTATCCGCGCACACATCTAATTCATATTAAAATACACGAACTCCCCCAACCTCTTACAATCTTCTTCTCGATCGAATTTCTACTCGAATAAATTTTGAGAGAAAGAGAGAGAGAGAAAAAAAAGGAAGATAGTCTTTTGCCCCCAATCCCAAACGAAACGGAAATACCAAATACACACACACAAACGATTGATAATATCTTTCAAGCTGTCGAACTCTATTCGTCTAGCTTTTACTAGAACATTCGAAGTCGAGATTATTATTTCGACTCCGAACTCTCTTCAAAGATATCCTTTTGAAGGAATCAACCGGCAGTTATTGACATGTGTGGATCAACGATAAAGGTCTCTCCTCCTTCTTCTCGTACCGACTACATACCAAGGTGACGGGCTTGTCACATTCTATCGCGTCTTCGATCCATTGGCGCGAAAAACTAGACCTTTCTCGTTTTTCTTCCATTTCCTTTTCAACCCTTTTTCTCTCAGGGTATTCTTTCATCTCTTCTCAAGATTTCATCACAACATACATAATAGGATAACATGTCCTTCTCATATACTACACCTCCCGGCCATCCGGGCGCCGCTTACTACGGCTTCTCGACCAGCGCTTCCCCTTCCCCTGCCGGTTCACCAACTGGATCTCCGGGATACGCTTCTTCACGACACCCATTCCGAACTCACTCTCGACATACAAGTTATGCAGATACTACTACACATAGAGCGTCCGCTACTGAAGCGAGGCCTTTCTCTCCTAGATTTACTTCAAACGGATACTACGCCACTGGTGCTGGTCCAAATGTGAGTCGAAACAAAAGTTCTTGGTCATCACCGCCGCCGCGTCATGAGACGAAGGCTCAGTATTCTTACTCCCACCGAATCCCTCATGGGGGTGCCGAGGACGACGAATATTATGAATATTTAGAAGATGTAGACGGGACAATATATTTGTGCAGAGTGCCTCGTCGATCGGCGGCGCACACAACTTACAAATATAGTAGTCATGGTACTGATGAATATTACAACCAGAGCCCCAAGTATGCTGAAGATCCTGAGTCCCCATACAGACATCGTCGAAACACTTCAACTACAGCTACACCTCAACGACCAGCGACCACTCGACCCGGAGCAACTCGCCCTACGGCCGCTTCAACTCGGACCAAACCTCAACCACCCCCGGAAAAGGCCACTGAAGCCGATGCGCGCAGACACCACATCCCAGCCGGATACTCTTTGAAGAATTGGGATCCTACCGAAGAACCCATCATGCTCCTCGGCAGTGTTTTCGATGCCAACAGTCTTGGCAAGTGGATCTACGATTGGACTGTCTACCACCATGGTCCTGCCACCCCACTATCCGACATGGCCGGTGAACTCTGGCTATTACTCATCCAATTAGCAGGCAAGGTCAAGCGTGCAGAAGAGTGCATGCCACGCATTCGACAACCAGATAATAGAGAAATGGTCGACGATTTCATCGAGTCTGGAGAACGCTTGACAGACAAGTTAAAGAAACTCCTCAAGGCATGCGAAGCACCTATGTTGAAGGCGGGTCGAAGCGGAACCAAGTCCGCAACAACACAACTCGGCAAGAACGCCGGTACCGAATTTGTTGACTCTATCTTTGGACGCGACAGACAACTTGAACATACTGAGAAGTTCATGGCATCAGTTCGATTATGGAACATGCGATTTGACGCCAACTGCGAAGAAATCCTCCGCAAGCCTGGTCAACATGCTTAAATACACTATACACATGTTTAAATACATTAAACAACAAACAAAAAAATATCATGGATCCGTATACAAACGGATTAGAAGGAGGGAGTTTGTTTATTTCTTCCATCATCTCGATTTCTTACGAATCAAACGATACCCATGAGACCATTATGAATGTGTTCTCATTTGTTTTACGGGGCAGTCATTGTAAGATAAAAAGGATGCTTTACAAAGGGAGGCGCAAGCCAAAACTTTCCGGTTCAGTCAGGCATTGGGCGGGGTTTTTTTTTTCTAAAAGATTACATTTGCATGTTGGACAAGGCATGTTTATTACGGCGGATTGGGAAAAAGTTTACGCATTTTCCATCGGCATTGGAGATTGTTAATTAAAGGGATGTAGCTTGATGGATGGATGGAAGGATTGATTTGTTTGATTTTTATTTCTAAGATTATCACGGTTGTTCAAAGATATGCGGCGGGATTTTTTTTACGCATTTATGGGAAAGGGAAATGGATTGGTAGGGTTCAATGGCGATGGCAAATTTGTAATAGTAGTTTTTAGTAGCTCGACGGGGCATGGTTGCTTGCTGGCTTTGGCGTTTGCCCATCACACGGCACGGAGATGATTTCGAGAGATCGCATCGTCTGGATATACCCTTCATATACTTCTGTTTGAGTTTTAGCTTTGTCAATCATCGGCTGCCACGAATAGTTTCAATTCATGGAAAGGACATTTTCTCTTCTTCACATTCGCGTCGCTTTGAAATTTATGTGTATATGCATGATTTGATAAGTTTCTGAATGTTGTATACACTTGAGCGCATGGTGACTAATCTCCGATCTCTGATCTCTGCTTGTACGAGCCCCCTCTCACGTAAGGTACCAAAACTGACTCATGCATGCACTCGCAAAGATTTTTGGGGGTAGATGACTTCATTTTCGATGCAGATGTAGACCAGTTATGCACGTGTCATGTATGTATGTACATCACTTCGCCCCTTGGCCCTTGGGTTTCAAAATAGAAACAGTGAATACAGGCTACCTACCTCTCGCTACCGCAATTAATGTCTAACGTTTAAAAAGGAATGATGGAGATGAAGGCGTAGGGAGCTAGTGGGTAGCTAGTAGGTAGGTAGGTAGGTAGGTAGGAGGGAGGGAGGGATATTCGTATTGGAATCGTGTTGGAATATGTCTGTAGTATTTGTTTTATTCTCTTGAGATTTGAGATTTGAGATTTGAGATTTGAGATTTGAGATTTGAGATTTGAGATTTGAGATTTGAGATTTGAGATTTGAGATTTGAGATTTGAGATTTGAGATTTGAGATTTGAGGCTGAGAGGGTAGGAAGGGAATGCGTAGATGGATGAGGGAGGTTAGAGTGTGTTTTGGATGGGGATGGAGAAGGGGATGGAAGTGATTAGCGAGTTTTGATATTGATATTGATATAGAGATAGAGATGGAGATGGAGATGAAAATCGATGGATCTGCGATGTGAATGCGAATGCACGGCGGGAAATGGAGAGGAGAGGAGAGGGGAGGGGAGGAGAGGGAAGGGAGAGTAGGATAGTATGTGTGAAAATTTCGGGAGTGAGTAGATAATTATATAGTAGATTTTATACTCTTTTTGGTTAGTGGGGTTATGTTTTATTTTTATTTTTATTTTTATTTTATTGTTTATTTTATTTTTTATCTTTAGGGGGGGTTGAGTTGAGTTGTGGTGTGGTGTGGTGTTGGTATGTATGTGTGAGTGAGTGAGGAAAATCAAATCGAATAGGAATTAGAATCTTGAGATGAAATTGGCTAGATGCTTGGATGCTTGGAACTGGAATGGCTTGCTGGATGGTGGGATTTATTGTGAGATGCTTGTTTGATGTGGGAAGTGAATGAATGGGGTTGGGTTCGTGTTGCCATGCGATATGATATGATATGCAATGCGGATGTGCGTAATTGTGAGTTTTTATTGGAAGGGTGGTTATATGATGGAAAGGGGGAGGGTGGATAGAGGATAGAGGATATGGTTTGGAGAGGAGGGGAAGAGATGAGGACATTGTGGAATGCAGGGGGTGGAAAATCGGTGAGATGGATGGATGGATGGATGAATGTATGAATGATTCTTTTCGCTTAATTATTAGTTACGGTACTGGAATATTGAATGTATGCTGCGCTGCATGGTATTGAATTTATGGTGTTGTATCGATCAGATTTGTTTGGATTGGTTCGATGTTCGATGTTCAATAGTCAATTACATCACATACAGTTCGATGTTTCATATGTTATGAGCATGCAGATAGATAGATAAATAGCTACTAGGTATTTAAGAAGGTCTAGAACTAGAAACCAGTTCTTTTTTCTCTACTTTTCCTTTCTTTTCTGACCGTGTAGATTTATTTGTGACTAGACTAGACAATACATACATACGTACGTACTACATACATTGGATACAATTACACTGCCCTAAATGCAGCTCGGAGAGAAAACACGGCGATGGGTTGGGAGTCGAACAAATCACCTTCGTATAGTCTTTCCAACCAAATCCCAAATCCCAATTTCGTCCTAGTCTTTTCTGTTTTTTTTTTCATTTTACCCAGATCCGGTAGTGTTCCCATCACATGTAGCTGCGAGGCTGCCCATTTGTGACCACCTTCTCGGAAAAGGGTGTGGTGTGGTATGGTGTGGTGCACTATCTATCTGTCGCTCACCATTCCACACAGCATCTCTTGGGAAATGATTCATTTTGGCGTCCCTCCATCTTCTTACAGTCAGCGGAGTTGGCTTCACATTCGTTGGAATAATATATCCATATATATGACGACCCCACCCACCTTGTAAGCGCAACTAGCCATATACTGGGTGAGGATGGTATCACCAATATCACCTAAGATTTACCTCTTCGCAGATTTAGATCACTTGTGTGAAAAATAAAATTTCAATCTTGGGAAAATGATAGGTGGACTGGGTATGATTGTCTTCCCCCTTTTGAGATTGTATTACTATGATGCAGTGTTCTGTCCCCAAAATGATGTGTGCTCCCCCCTGACTCGCCGCTTGCGTTCTGGGAATGCGGATGCAATGATAATTGAAAATGTAAATGTTGTGAACCATTTTTTGGGGCCTTCCATGCTCGGACTGACTATTACTATCGTAGAGCACGAGCATTATTTGTGCGAATGTATTTTTATGAGATGATTTCAAGATGTCAATACGCCAGATTAGAGTATTTGATGTTGATGTTGATGTTGATGCTGATGTAGCGCTTAAAGCTAGATAGTGGGATATGGTATGAATCATCGATGCCCGAGCAGTTGGGTTGGCGCTTGATGAATGATCTATATCTCTAGATAAGGGCTGAGCAAAAGTACCGAAACCAAGCGTGGACAACCGTTATAATGCTTTCAGCTGTCGCGGTTAGATAATGATATGATTGGATTATCTAGGATGTTTTCATCATTTTCTCAGCACCGTTTAGGTTTGGGTTTGGTGACGAGACAGCCCTTTCTCAATCATCCAATTCGTTCTTGGAGTATTTTGAGAAGTCATAGAAACTTGGATTTATCTTGTGCCAACCCCCATCAATATCACATGCACATTTAGGCTTCCGTTATTTGGGATCCTAAGCATCATCATGACAATATCTGGCTTGATCTGGGATAAGATGAATCGGTAAATTGGAAATGGAACGACGGATGATGGTCAGGTCAGGGTAATTGGATAAATCCAAAAACACTCACATACCACCATGTTGTGCGCTTACGGTCACACAGCATCCGATACCATTCTCAGTACAGTATCACACACACACACACGCACACACACCTTCTCAAAGAAGCTGTGCCTCTTCTCAACACCCCATCTGCGCATATATTTACAATGACGAACTATTTATAGTTCATTCATATGGTAAAATCACAACAGCCACAAGCTATACTCTATACAGAGGTAAGCGACGGAAGGGTTGCAGAATCTGACCTGCAGCAAGGCGTGGTAGAAAAATTCATGTATGTAACAGCTAGAGAAAAGAAAAGAAAAAAGGAACAGCCCTGTCAAAAGTAGATTAGAATGATATCAATAAGAAACGGAAGGATTCAAGATTAGAAGTTCTGACCATCCATCCATAATTAACGACCAGGTTGTCGATATAATAGAACGTGGAAGGAATTTAATCTTCAGGGGGGAGAACGGAAAGAAACGAACGAGGAAGGAACATGACATGGTCCAAGCCAAAAGCTAAATTAGCGTGAAGGGTGGATGCGTCGATAAACGGGAAAGGAAGAATTTGAAACGAGGGGGAAGATTTGCCATGTTTCTACAATATAGCTAGTGTGCATGCAATGCGAAAAAAAAATTATCGATATCTTCAGTACGACCTAGTCTCCTTGAAGCATCTCACCATTCATACCCACACGACGTACGTCAAGCATCAACGTAACGAAGCGAAAAGGTTAGTTGCGGAACGTGGAACGTTGAACGGAAGAAGAAAGGAAGGGAGACTGCGTAAGTTGTGTGAGAGAGGCTTCAACCCAGGGATTCTCTGGGAGAGATGCATGGGATTGGGTGTGTGAATTGGATGGAAGGTTAAGGTTAAGGTTACTTTTACAACCAGCGCGGACAATATTGCGTACGTATTGTATTACGGTACATGTATATGCAAGAAGGGAAAACGTTAAACGGCGACTAAGAAAATCTCTGGGAAAGTATATGTGGTGATAGACGGGAGTCTCGGATTCATCAATTACCGTGCTGGGCTGAGACATACATATCTACATACTAGTTGGTGTGTGTCTGAGCCGCACCGTAGGAACAGGAGTGTGCGATAACGATTACGAAAGTTAGAGTTGGAACGAGGAGATTAGCCTCAAAGGCTGAAGGATTTAAGCTATCTCTCTAGCCTTGCCTGGATTCCTACAAGGCTGTTATCCTTACGGTCTGCGGATCGATCTTTCCTGGAACGAAATACCATACGATATTATGCATTACATACGGTTGTTCAAGCAGCCTCGTCTGCTACCAATCACATCCTCCGCGTCCTCGTCTTCCCCTCGAATACTCTCTGCAAAGATTACCATAACAACGGATTTGGGAGAATCGTATTTGATGTCTGATGTTAAACTCCGTGCGGAAATAGAAGTCGATGGGAAAAGTCTTGGAAGCGGAAAAGAATATATGTGGAAAGGCACGAATGGGATGAGGAGTTTAGAAATTCAGATACCGATAAAAGTACCGCGTGGAGTGGAACAATGGACGACGATGATTGTGGGACCTGTGGAAAATACATATGGTGTCGATTCTTTTGAGCATGTTTTGGGAATAAGCCAGAACGAGGGTGGAATTGTCAAGGTGAGGAGTAGGAGTATTGACCTGAAAACTGGAGCCACGAGGTCGGAGGGTATGGCCGAACGGGTTTTCAGTCCTGGTTTTGGAAGACGGGATAAAATCCACATTTGGGAAGAAACGGGAGAGAGTATCGCAAGACATATCTGTAGGTTTTTCTCGGGGTCAAGGTAGGTGGATGTTTTTTTCTCTTGGAAACTAATGCATTTTTATGATGTAGGGGATGCGGGACTAGTGCTCTCATCATATCTATCATCTCTTGGGAGTTCTTCTCCGCCTGCCGGCTCCCTGCCTACTCTAGAAAAGTTTCTGAGCACGCAGCAAGATATCAATATTCTTGAGCTGGGAGCCGGATGCGGAATCGTAGGTATCACACTCGCGAAGGTCTTTTCGGAGCGAATCAATAAAATCCTACTCACCGATCTCCCCGAAGCCTCGGAGATACTGGAGAAAAATCTTTCTGCCATGACTCCAGATGCAGATGTCTCACCCTGTAACTCCTGCTCTCACCAAGTGCTGGATTGGTCGGCTCCGCTTCCGCAAGATGTGCGAGGCGAAAGGTGGGAGTTGGTGGTGGTGGCGGATTGTACGTATAATCCTGACGTGGTACCCGATTTGGTACACACTTTAACCAGAGTGAGAGATGGGAATCAAGGAACGCTGGTTTTGCTCGCGATGAAAGTGAGACATGATAGTGAAATGGTATTTTTTGAGCTTATGGAGAAAGAAGGATTTGGGGTTGTGGAGAAGTGCAAGGTACCGCTGGGAATGGTGGGGGAGGAGGGCCAGGAAATCGAGATCTTTGTTTTTAGATGATGGTGAATGGTCATTGTTTCTAGGGATGTAAATTTAGTCTGTCGAGATAGCTCAATTACTACACTTTACCCCAAAAATACTTGGGTGCGACTCTTCGTACACTCACTTCAACCTGTGCCGATTTTATGCCTATGTCCCAGCAAATAGATTCATCTAACTTCATTGCACATACTGCTTATTCTACGCATTATCCATCCACTATCCCTTCGTCGTTCTTGCATCTGCATGTAACACAATCGATTACTATGTGGCATGTGCACATAATTCTGTCAAACTAGAATAAAATAGGACGAAGGGCGAAAGAGGGTGAAGATGAAGACGGTCAGAATAGTAATGATCTCTTCTTGCTATCGTTTATTTTCCCACCCAGCTACGTATTCGGCTCGGCACCATCTCACATATACCCATCTAAATATTTCCGCCCTCTATCACCCCCCCATTCCTCTCACAACGATTCCCAAATCCTACGAAAACTCACGAATACTCTCCTCAGCCACCTCCTGTAGATTTAGTCCCGCGCCCCCATGATCCGACTCTCTCCACTTTCCAGGTCCATTCTCTTCCTTTGCCTGTCGATAACTCATGACTAGTTCTCCACCCCCCTTTAGCAAATCCTCAAAGAGTGTGCGTCTCATAACCGCCATTTCTCTGCCTCTATTCTTCAATAGCTCACTAACAAGCACCAGCGCATTTTCCCGATCAAGGCGTGCCATTTCCGCTGCTTGCGCGTGAGGTTGTACGGGTTCCGGTTCGGGGCTTTGAAGTTCGAGACTTGAAATTCCAAGAGACTCACTTTGTGAGTTTGATGAAGGTGTATTAGTTGCAAGGGCGGGCTTGTATTCGAGAAGTGGTTTGCCGGTAAGCATCTCGACGAGAGGTTGGAAGACAGTTACATCTTGCATTATATCACTAATGCATTGCGCACTGTCTGGGTACCTAGCCATGAGAGCGAACACAAACCATCCTTCGCTTCTGACAATTGGCCATTTGGTTTGAGAGACCATGAAGCTTAAGGGTCGTCCAATGTCAGGATGGCGAAGTAGAAATTTTCTTCGAGTCTCGTTTAGTTCTTCAGCCGGTCGACCTTTGTAGGCTGTGAAGACTCGGCATACAGCTGTAATTAGACGGGAGATCTCCATTTTGATTGGTTCTACATCTGTACGATCGAACAAGGCAATTAAGAGAGAAATGTTTGAACGTTCGTGAGCTGGTGAATCCTTATCTGTCGAGAGGCGTGCACAGACTCGTTCGACATTTTCCATGGAACCATTGACAAGTTGGCGACTAAGGGATATGGATGATAACTGAATTGGTTGTAGGATGTCAAGCAGCCAAAGTCTAGGGAGCACTTCGAAAATACCGGAGCTTCCTAACACTTCCTTGTTTTTTAAAGGTAACGCCAAGTTCTTGAGAAATCCAAGTGCCGCGTGGAGTAATTGTGAATCATTGACGTTCTTGAGTATAGATATGAGGGGTAGATGAACTCGAGCCGTGTGTACAAACAATTCACAAGCTTCGTCATTACGAGCAAGGTTACCTAACATAATACAAGCACAAACTTGTAATTGTATCTGTTCGCTTGATAACCATCGGCGCAGTGAAGAAGAAAATGGAGATATAACTGGGCATGCCTCCTTGAATTCAGGTAATGCCGAGATATCGGACAGGGCTGAATTCAAATTGATGCGCATTTGCGACAATAGCTTTGCATCGTCCTCGTGTGTTGTCGAGGGACCAATTGATGGGTGAGAGTCGAATCGCGTATACGAATCAACAAGAACAGCTAGAGCGGTATCAAGCGCCTGAGGAGTTTTGACCATTGTTTTCTGGAATTTTTCGTGTCCCAGGTACGCCACAGCGGTGTTGACGAGAGCGATGTAATCATCCATGTCCACTGGGTTTTCTCGATCTGAAGCCAACTTCAACAGAACAATGGGTGTATCATCTGGTGCCGTATCTGGCTCAGAAGCTATGTACGAATTAGTCTCAATAGCGACTGATATCAAATTTAACACTTACGTTGTTGTATAAGTAGATCGAGTAGTTTACATACGTATCCAAGGAAATGTACGCTATCTTTGAATCGAGGGCTTGAGATTAGTGCAATAAGTTCCTTGCTTAGATACGCACTAGACGCCTGTTGTTGAGCAGGAACTGGAAAATGTCAGTAGTTGACCATCGATCCGAAACTTATAATGTACTAACCATAATCAACGCAAACATTATAGAGAACTGGTATTGCAAAAGCAAGTAAATTGGTATCTGACAACTGAGCAATAATCAACGGTATACAATTTGACGCTACGACACGAGCCCTGTTTTCATCTATCTCGATGTCAGTATGACAGAATGGTGTAGGAATGTCTAACTTACCTGTATCCGCACAAGAATTCCCCACCAAACGCAATATTTGAAGTTTGAGAGCATGGCGTAAAGTATGTGTACTTAATAGCTCAAGGAAAAACTTCAAAATACCGGAGTCTCCGAGAGGTACTCGCCATTTGGCTATTCCCAAGTTAGAACAATGCTAGATCACTGAATGCACATCTTAAAAATGTGTCATCGTATCACAATAGCCACTTGACCACGTGAAACCGAAACTCAAGTCATAGACATATTTTTGCAAATCAGAAGGTAACTCACGATCTCTACTCCCATCCGCCAATTTTTCTGCAGCTTCATTGATCGACGTCGAATCTTGCCACCATAATTGCGCCAACTTTCCCAGTGCCCCCTTTAATCTTTCCGTCCTTCTCTCCCTGTCTTCCACGTCCACCACCTCTTCGGCATCACCATCCATATCCACATCTTCTACACTTACAGATTCCTCCAACTTGAAGATGTCTGCAATTGATGATGACATGTCTTTCTGTTCTTTCACAGTCAAACGCTCGTGGCTCTCCTTGCCATCTTCAAACGATGCCGGAAGAGCTCTCGTATTTGAGTCCTCATTCACCAAATCCATTCGATCAACAGATCCCGTCTCATTGCTAGATTGCGGACTAGTGTTTACTCTGTCCTCCATGATTGTCATCCTACAGACTTGTGAATGCAGCTGTAGGGGTTTGAGCCTTGGGGTATGTAGAGCCAAGGAATACTGCGCCACAGACTCGTTTGCAATCTGGTACTGATAGAGATGAACAGGTGATACAGCACACGAAATACAAGGTTGTCAATGTAAAGTCCTGGCTTGTAATTTATGATTTGTGTTTTGATAGGGTCGACAAATACCTAGGTAGTGAAATAACGTTTTAAATCAAAAGATACTAGCGGGAAAAGTGGGTGGGGCCAAGGAAGATGATAGATACTTTATTTTGACGTATGATTTTGAGGGATATATGAGTAGCAGTATCTTTGTAAGACTTGGATTGATAATCTAGAATCAAATATGACAAACTTATGAGATATTCGGAGTTGAAAGCTTGCGAAATCTAAATCGTCTTCAACTATGATGAAGAGAGCTTTGAAAAAAGGAGATGAATTGATTCCAAAGCTTCGTCTTCTTTTTAAAAACTCGGACCGCGATGTTCTATAAATATCCATCTTATAAATCCACACGAAACCCCTTATCAACCTTTGAATATTAGATACTTACCTAGTTATAAACTTTGAGTATGGTTTTAAGGACCGAATAATAACTCAACTACAACAAAGTTTCCAAATAGTTGTGAGGATTTAGGCAATCTAGGTGGTCTCTGTGATCTGATAAAAGCCAGGAAGACCCTCGACCTTTTAAGATTGGGATTTAGAGGGCATTAGTTTATCATATAGACCAGGTTTTCATCTATTCCACACCAAGAGATTCATAGTAGATTGCTATAAAATCACTTCTCTGTATCGAAATTTACGACGATGAGACTACCTAGTAATAGGGGTGAGGTGAATCGGTGCATCGCTGACAAGCAGTGACATTCACTAGCTCCATGTGATTGGTGGACCCAACCAGATTATCCCCGAAAAATACGAAGCATACACATAATATCCAGGACTGACTGATATTCGTACCAGGCACACCCATCAACGCATCTATTCCAGACTCTCAGTGATTAACCACTCTAAGTAACTCAATTTCTACCAATACTATATATATGTATATTCCCAAACTATATAGCTAACACCACATGACTCATGATCAGACAAGTTTCTAAAGCCATATATCCATTCAAGCTTTACCATCGAGTATCACCATCGTATCTATTTTTCAATGTCTCTCCATATCTAGGTATCTAATGTCAGTTTCGGAATCAAGTATTTCCGTTTGTCAGCAAGGTGATGTGGCCTGCAACCCAAAGATGGCTTGGAGGAGGCTTGGAGGATATGTTGACGCGTACTGACCGCTGCAAATTTGATCTAAATGCAGCAGCAGCCTTATAAGTGACAATTGTACGAGGCGGGCTGAAAAAAAGAGGCACTGGATTGACACGTGGGAATCATTTGAGAATGTTACAGTACTCTAAGGGCATTAAATTCATTGGTTAGATATCCTAGATATCCAGTAGAGACATCAGTGTGGTAAATGCTCGCTAAAATTCTCCTTGCTATACCCAACAACTTCCACTCGTCAAACACCAAAACACGTTCAGTCGCGAGAACATAATGCTTTGCGTAGGTAGATGTGCTTGCTTGGACACCATTTCTAGCATGCTGCGCCGTGCTTCCTTTAATTATCTTAGACATGCTTGATGCTCCTCATGCGAATAATGAAAAGGATTAGATGGAAGAAGTAAATAGAACATGTTAGTCCGCAAAGAAGTATGAAACAACAAGGTGACGAGATCGCTGTAAAGAATTTCTATCGTACAAAAATTTCTCAAGACACAAATTGGCTCCCACAAAATGGTGGATATCAAGAAATTAGACCTTAAACTCGGGGTGCCTCGTAGCCAATACCAAGGCCAATAGGATCAGAAGCCCTCGATTTCTTGTTCGAATGGCCAGAAGAATAATGATCATCACGTTTTCTCTTCTCAACTACCGGTTTAGTGACAGTTCCCCAGATC